AAAGGACTTGTATCGCTAAAGTTTCTTCGGAAAGAATATTTACGGAAAATTAACTAACGACCAGAGACGTAACAACAAGTATTAGTTCTAGTTGAGTCCTGAAGGAACTAAATTAAATATATATATATATATATCTTCTATATATATATATATATATAAGCACAAAAATATATGTGTCTGTCTGTTATCTAACTACTACTAGGTTGCTTGGTCAATCTCAACCATAAATTTGTGGGGTTAATGGGGGTCACAGCCTCATCTACTCCCATAATTACTGTTATTGACCATTTATTATTTTTGATTTAAGTTAACATTCACTAATTAATAGATGGCGTCTTTAAAGAAAAGATAAACACATTTTCTATGATCGTCAATTAAATAATAACGTGAAGATAGAGTGAGCACGTGTATCCTTAGTTCCACAGTATTACACTTTTATTTAAGAGGTCGCATGTTGGTTCACGCATCGACAGTAGTTGTAAGCAAGTGGTAGTGGTTTAATATATATCTGTGTGTATGTATAAGTAGAGTTAGTTTGTAGTTTTCTTAGTAGTCAACTTTGTGAAGTGCATACAGAAACTACATCTTTATCTAAGTTTAAGTGTGTTAAGATGCCTAAACGAGTTTTGAAGTCATTGTTTTCACGGAAATCAAAAGTAGCCAAGAGAATGGAAGAGAGAAGATTGCGAGAAACGGCAAAAGAAACTGCTGCAAGACAAGCTCAAGATAGAGAAAGGATAGCTAGAAGAAGAGCACAAGAGACAGCTGAAGAAACTGCTGCTAGACAGAGGCAAAATAGGGAAATGATAGCTAGGAGAAGAGCACAAGAGACAGCTGATGAAACTGCTGCAAGACAAGCTCGAGATAGGGAAAGGAAAGCTAGAAGAAGGGCACAAGAGACAGCTGAAGAAACTGCTGCTAGACAAGCTCGAGATCGTGAAAGGATAGCTAGAAGAAGAGCACAGGAGAAAGCTGATGAAACTGCTGCAAGACAAGAAGGAAATCGTGATAGAGAACAACCACCACCTCTTAATGTACTCCTTCAGGGAAATAATGACGAGTCTATAAGCTTTCTAACCAATATTAGAAAATATAACAGTGTTTTCCAAATGAGCTCTTTTGGAGCTGGAACTGGCATCCCAGATCCAGGATACAAAACTCTTGGTGAGGTAATAATGAATTCTATATTAATATTTTGTTAAATTGTGTTAAAGTTAGGAATTTTCAGTTAATTATCATAACATCCACCCCCACATTTTTTTTAAGTTCATAACCCAAACAAAGGACAGGTATTTCAGCTTGTAGTAAATATTCCATGTCCAGATATCACTATACTACATGGCCGGTTCAGTTATAAAACTTTAAAAAAGATGGTTTCTGCACCAAGTTAAACATGCACAACACAAATATCATCACACTAAGACATCACCTAGTGTACGTGATTGTCCATTTAATACTGCTTGTATTTATAATAATCAGAATTTACATGAATGATGTAACCAGCAGCAACAGTTTACATGAACAAAACTTGTGTAGTGTTTTTTGCTATTATTGTTAGTATTAGTTAACTGATATTTTATACTGTGTACTAGATAATTAGGGTAGGAGTAAAATAAAATACCACAGACAAAAACTTCTAAATGAACAAACTTCAGTAAATATCTTCTTTCTCTTTGTCATTAAACTTGCTCTTGGTACATGAATTTCAATGTTGCAGACCCTGATGCTGTTACCATGTGTAACAAGTGGTGTCATAATTAGTGCCATGATTCTGTTCTATAGTCCATGATGCAAAAAATTGTAATGTTGTGTACAAAATTACTGAAATTTTTTTAAAATAATGTTTAGTTTACACATAGTTACAAAATATCTGTACACTAGTATTTTCCTTAGCATTCCATCCAATTGTCATATGACAGTTGTGGAACACGTGCACTTTCTCTTAAAAGCCCTATACATTTGAACATAGCACTCTCTTGCATTTTCAATGGTTTATTATGACCTTTTACATAGTTTTGTTGATGTGATCTTATTTTGGATGATATAGAGGTCAAGATGCCAATCTGTTATTGGTTTTCTTTGCATGATGTGTAACTTATTTACATATATGTTGTGGAAAGTGACGACAGACATTGATTTGTGCATATGTTAACATTTTTGAAAACCCCAACAAAAGATAAGGTCAGTATCTAAAGTGGCATACAGTTATGACCAAACAGTTGTTTTAATAAAAGAAAATGCAATAGTAAGGTAAATTTTTGTTTTCATTATACTTCTCTTTATATGACATGAGTATAATTTGTGCAGGAGAAGTAGCACATATATCAATTTTAAAAAAATGAATAAAAAGAAATTAAGACCTTGAAATTAAGCAACTTGAGATCATTGTTAGTCCTTGCTTCCACATTTTAATGTGAGAACCATCGTGTTAAGCTTATCTCACACATGTTGCAAACCAGAAAACTGACAGAAAATTGCTTTTAATATTTTCTATAACTCACAAAAACAAATAACTGAGTTTATTTCAAGCAGTAAAACATTCACCAGAGTATAATTTTGTTTTTCATAGATAACACATTTGACATTACAGTTATCAAGTTCAGTATTAAATGTTTAAAGCTTAATACATTATCTTTTAATACTTATCACATTTTATAACCAAGATATTAAACACTTAAGTTACTTAAAAGTATATGTAAATAAAGAAGTTTGAAGAGTGGGCAAAGTTCCATTTTTATAGACCCTAATACTTTACACCCTTAACTAAATACTTTTAAATGTAAAGTATTGGACATGTTGGAATTTTCTGTAATATAACATAATGTTGTAGTTAAAAATATGTATTAGGTCCTAAGTATTAATAGTCAAAGTATAAACTGAAGTTTTTCTGTTTGCTTTGAATTATCACTCAGAAATGCAAGTTGGATCAGTTATATTCCATACAGACCTTTATGTATCTGAGGTATTTGAAGATAAATTTAGATTATAGGTACAGCCCTTAGAGGGTTACAACTGTATTTACTAATCATTACGTACATAAGGTACTTGAAGATCAAGCTTAAAATGTCTAAAACATTTATGCTAAAGTTTTAGTTTAAAGATATAAAGAAATAACACATATTTCAGAATTTTTAGTGAGGAAAAATATCATGATAACATAAATTTTGAGGTTTTTATTTGGAAGACTTGATGTTAATGCTCTTTGAGAAAGTTTAAAGTTAACATTCTTTGTGTTCAGACTTCAGTTGAATATGAAATGAGTGTCACTGATGCAGTAATGGAGGTTTTAGAAATAAAAGTTGAACCCTTTTATGATGATGAACAAAATGCTCTATTGAATATGGAACTAATGGAAAATGAAGAAAAAAACATAACATCATCTAGTGGTAAGTAAAGATTTTTATAATCTCTTGTATTTTTGTTGACTGTTCTCACCACTGAACCTTATGTTGTTGGTTTTTAATCTAACAGCATTCCATATTCTTTTCTGTTAATTAAAAATTATTTCATGTTGAATAAAGCCTTTAATTCTCTTGATGCATAGATGTGTAACAGTAATAACATCACTGTATAAGCAGTAGGATCAAAAAGGTCTTAGCCCTGTGGCTAATTTGTCTTAATTTCAGTACAAAAAGGATGTTCAACTTTGCCGATCGGCAACAAGACGTAATCGTTACAATAATTATTGCTGCAGCGTGTTGACGCAGTCTGTGTTACTTCTGTTCAACAGTATATAAATACAGGTTATAATGAGGTAATCAAAAGAAGAAAAAGAAAACAAAAAGTCAGAAAATAAACTTGGCAAGGATTTCATGTACTCTTTAATGCTTCCTATCACCACTGTGACTAATATTAAACTTGCCTATGTTCGTCAGTTTGTGACACTAATCTCAAATGGAGAAACTTCGAGCATTTAGTGCCAATACAGCAAAATGTACTCTCTTGTTTGATGTTTAAACTAACAATACAGGAAATTAGTACTCATGGTCATATCTTTTACACACTGGCCAATATAAACATTTTCTATTTAAAATCCATAATTTTATCATGTTTAATATAGATGAAAACACACTGACTATTGTGACTGGAAAAAAATCCATTGAGGTAGGTTCTGTTGCTAGCAGTAAGAGGAATATAATTTTAATATGTATTGATAGGCATATTGAGTACAAGTAAAAGGAGGTGGTTATCTCTATAAAAATCACTAACTTCTTCTCAGATGTTATTAGAATACTGTGTATGATTTTGATCTCCTTATCTAAGAAAAGATACTGACATTGGAAAGGGTTCAGATGACTACAGGATGGAAGGATTTTTTTATGAGGATAAGTTACAATATCTTTTTTTTATTTGTTGAGAAAAATAAATGTAATAGCAGACCTTGGAATTTACAAAAGTATCTGAGTTCAATAGGATCAAGGGCTGACATTTAATTTGTTTGTGTTTTTGACTATGTTGTGAAGGCAACAATATTCAATTATCATGATGATAACATGTATGAAGATGTATAGAACTGTGTGTAATATAAGGAAGTTTTTTGTTCACTTATTTGAATTCCATTGTTTAAATGCTTTTCCTACTGCAAAAGGCGTGGCATGGCCAGGTGGTTAGGGCGCTCGACTAGCAATCTGAGGGTCGCGGGTTCGAATCCCCGTCACACCAAACATGCTTGCCCTTTCAGCTGTGGGGGCATTATAATGTGACAGTCAATCCCACTATTCGTTGGTAAAAAGTAGCCCAAGAGTTGGCGGTGGGTGGTGATAACTAGCTGCTTTCCCTCTAGTCTTACACTGCTAAATTAGGGATGGCTAGCGCAGATAGCCCTTGTGTAGCTTTGCGCAAAATTCAAAACAAACAAACCTACTGCAAAATGATCAGTTATTTCTTTAGGCTTATTTCCTGGCTCACTGATCTTTACTAAGTATTATTCCCAGTCCACAAAGCCTCTTGTCTCATGGTGCTATATAGGTGTTTTTTAGTTTTAGTTTTGAAAATGAGTGTTCACCACTTTTTGCTGTTATTGCAGTAGTGAGAAGCAGGAGAAGTACAGTACAAACTTTTGAACAACACAGCACTAAGACACTGTTGTCAAATCAACAGGTATGCTAGATTCTTCACTGTTGATTGTTTTGAGAAGTTAATGTCAAACATTGTCCGATTTAAAGCAATTGTCTAGGCATAGCAGTAGAAATATCTTTGTTGAAATGATTGACCAGTTTTTTTAGCTCCTATAAAGTAAGCCTCATCACTTGCAGGAATAACTTACTTTATTAATATTATACATCCTTGGCTTTTTGATTTCCATCAATGATATAGATGAAGGATTATTTAAATTGGCTGATGATGTTACAGATTTGGGTGTTGCTGGCTGTGATTAGAATGCTACTCATTTACAAAAGGATTTGGATTATTTGTTGAGTTGGAAGAAAATGTGGCAGATGACTGTTAATTATAATTACAAAGCTGAGGTACCCATCCTTTGACCAGGTTATGAACTTCTGAAAAATTTTCATACAATTTATTTATAACATTAATATAGGATTCATTATTACCTCACCAAGAGTTTGGTATCTTGGTTCTGTGATGATAGTTCCAGCTCCAAAAGAGGTCATTTGGAAAACATTGTTATATTTTCTAATATTGGTTAGGAAATGTTTAGACTCTTCAGTATTTCCCTGAAGGAGTACATTAAGAGGTGGTGGTGATTCTCTCAAAGGTTGCAATACAACTTTGCTGTTATCACAACACAGTCCTGCCTTTTCATTGGGATACCTTTTTGTCCTGCAAAAATCACATTCTATAGATCTTCTTTCAACATCATATGTAGACTCTGAGTCAAAATCATGATTTGGATCATAATCATTAGCTGTTTTGAAATACATTCTCAGTCTCCATTCAGAAGCAGTAATCCTTCTTTGAGCTTGATATTCTTTATCTTGTTCTCTTCTAGCAGTAATTTCTGCAACCAATTATTTCACTCTTCTTCTTGTCATTCTGACCCAATTTCCTTCTTGTTTGGCAGCAGTTTCTTCAGCTGTCTCTTGTGCCCTTTTTCTAGCTATCCTTTCCCTATCTTGAGTTTGCCTTGCAGCAATTTCATCAGCTGTCTCTTGTGCCCTTTTTCTAGCTATCCTTTCCCTATCTCGAGCTTGCCTTGAAGCAGTTTCATCAGCTGTCTCTTGTGCTCTTCTTCTAGCTATCCTTTCCCTATTTCGAGCTTGTCTTGCAGCAGTTTCATCAGCTGTTTCTTGTGCTCTTCTTCTAGCTATCCTTTCCCTCTCTTGTCTCTGTCTAGCAGCAGTTTCATCAGCTGTTTCTTGTGCTCTTCTTCTAGCTATCCTTTCCCTATCTTGTCTCTGTCTCGCAGCAGTTTCATCAGCTGTTTCTTGTGCTCTTCTTCTAGCTATCCTTTCCCTATTTCGTCTCTGTCTCGCAGCAGTTTCATCAGCTGTTTCTTGTGCTCTTCTTCTAGCTATCCTTTCCCTATTTCATCTCTGTCTCGCAGCAGTTTCATCAGCTGTTTTTTGTGCTCTTCTTCTAGCTATCCTTTCCCTATTTCGTCTCTGTCTCGCAGCAGTTTCATCAGCTGTTTCTTGTGCTCTTCTTCTAGCTATCCTTTCCCTATTTCGTCTCTGTCTCGCAGCAGTTTCATCAGCTGTCTCTTGTGCTCTCCTTCTAGCTATCCTTTCCCTATCTTGAGCTTGTCTTGCAGCAGTTTCTTTTGCCATTTCTTGATACCTTCTGTGTTTGATCCTCTTGGCTATTTTTGATTTCCACGAATACAATGACTTCAAAACTCATTTGGATATCTTGACAAACTTAGGTAGGGATGTTGTTTATGTGTGCACTTCTCAAAATTGACTATTTTGGAAACCACAAAGTAACAATGCTACTTATATATATATGGACACAGATATATATTATACTAGTTACTTACAATTACTGTTGAGGCAGGAAGCAAAGCACCGCCTCTTTGAAGTAATGGTGAAACACTGTGGAACTAAGAGTACACATGTTCGCTTTGTTTTCACATGATTAATCAATTGATGATCATTGGCTGCATTATACAAAATTTAATAAATATTTTTTGGTTTAAGAATGTTGCACCATCTATTAATGTATTTAACGTTAACTTACATTAAAGATAATAAATGCTCAATAACAGCAGTAATAGGGGTGGAGGGGGTTGTGAACCTCCAATAACATGCCCTTTGTTCCAAACTATCATCCCACAAATTTTGGTTGAGATTAACCAAGCAACCTAAGTGTAGTTTGATAATGGACAGACAGACACAGAGATTTTTGTGTTTTATATATATAAATGCAAGGTAATGCATGTGGTACATCACAATTTGAATTACGAGTATAATTTTAATGGGAATGACCAACAGTGTTTTGTAATTAAAATGATTTCGTTGTTCTAACTCATCAGTCTCTTAAGCTATCCAATTAATATGTTGTTGCTAGTGGCAGGATAAATAGGATATTAAGTTGTATCTACAGAAATATTGAATAAAAATCAAAAAAGGTTATAATGTCATTGGTTAAGTCACATTTGGAGTACCATGTTCAACCTTTGGCTCCATACCTTACAAAGGATTTCCAATATATGTAACCTCTGGTCACGTGTAGGTTTTCTGATTCAGTGCTGCCCTCTGTGTGCAAACTTTCCCTCACCACTAGCCTTGAGACTTTAACCTAAACTAGTGTGATATTTCTGAGTTGTTGCATGTAAATGAGCATCCAATAACTCCCCACAATTATGGGTGGGATACACTTTCAAGTGCTGCTGGCTACCTCTATACTTCTTGTTCATTTACACCTTGATTTGGCAGTCATATGATAATGAGTTTTTTTTGCTGATGACCATTATTGAAATATGTATTGTTGTTATTTGTAGAAGTATCTAGTCATCTAAACCATTCTTGTAGAAAATTAAATTTTTAAGATTCATTTTCAAATAGTTTGTATGTGTAAATTTTGTATGGCTTTTGTTTTCCATTTGTAAATTCTGAAGTTACTGTAACTTCCACTCTGTCTGGTGTGGAGAGCAAAAAGTAAGAGACAAACAACTAGAATGATATCAGGTTCCTCTTTGTCTGTTGAAAAGGTGATAGCTATTGTGCAATGGGAGATGGATTCTTTCATGTGGCCCAGACCTTCCTCTAAGCCTGATATAGATATCCCTCTTTCTGTCAATCCAGTTTGTGATGACATGGATTTTGACAGTCATTTCCTACTACCTACCTTTACCAATACTTCTACCAGTACTATCTTGGATATTTTTAGGACTTCTTCTTTCTTTTCTTTGGTATGGTTTCTCTGGCTTGTTACATATTTTCTCTATTTCCTGTGTTATATAATTCCTCTCCTTCCCTTCTCTATT